TAACAGGGGTGTCCCCCCCAATACAAAGTAAAAAAAGCAAGAGGGGCACTCGGAGGAGGTGTATCTCCTGTGTACCTCCCCCCTGTGTATCTCGCCCTTTGCTCATTTCGACGCATAAAGCTAAAATGATGGGAGTAATTGGTGGGTGGAAGATCCTAAACCAACGGGAAATGTATGGGCTCGACGACCTCTGGATAACCCGGGTACCTTGGCATGGAAAGTGCAAAAATATTTACTCACCTTGAAGTTTCTATTTTTTTTAAAAGCTTTTTTATTTATTTTGTTTTTATTTCTTAAGTCATCCTTTGAGACGGTTCAAGCTTCTTTTGAGACGGTTCAAGCTCCCGTCTGAGGTCTAATTATAGTAAGCAGGAAGAGGATGGAAGGGGAATGGGTTGATTCCCGGGGGGGGGGGGAATGACAAAAACCAAAACACCCTAAACCCCCAGATCGGGAAGGTGCCGGACAGAAAGGCTTTCTGTGACTCACGCACGCTCTGAAATGAAGATCTGAAAAACGCTTACAAGCCCCCTCTGACTGGTTTGAAAGCGATTCCAGCAATTAGGAATTAATTCGGCATGGTCAAAAGGCGATTTCACTGCAAGTTATATCAAGTTATCCAAACTTTTACAGAGTTCAAGTGGTGGAAATGGGCCGCTGGGGTGGAGGTAAGGCTGCAGGAAAGAAAAACAAGGAGTGTTCAGGAAAGGCAGAAGAGGGGAAGCTGTGGAGCAAGGGCCGGAGGGATGGCGAGCCCACGTTAGCGCCAGAGGTTTGCTGCTGTTGTTGCTGGAGGAGAGGGGAGGCAGGGAACAGGGGCTGCTTTTGTTTTTCAAATGGGAGAAAGTACTAAAAATGTGCTGGAGGTCCTAGGTAATAGAAAGATGAGTGTTAATTACAAAAAGGAAATCGGTGGGCTTGCTGGCCGATCAGTACTTCAGGTACAGTAGCCAGAGCTAGCCCAGGCAGGGCTGACCCTGGCATGATGCGTGGGGTGAGAGGCACCAGGAAGGTGTGGAGGGTGGAGGGGGGGGATAAAACCGGGCTTTCACGCACAGGCAGGCCAGCAATAAAACCATCACGGGGAGGGGCGGCCATCCACCCTTGCCGCGGCAACTCATGGCGGTGCTGGCCATAGGGTGCGCCCCCGGCATGGGTCCCGCGGTGCCCGCCGGGCCCAGCCAGGGCTCAGGCATTGGGGTTGTTCTTCATGAGCTCCACGTCGGCGTCCACCATCTCCCTCACCAGCTCCTGCGAGAAGGGAGAGAGACAGGTGAGGGCCCCAGCACGGGGGATGAACAGGCAAGGCAGCATGTCGGGAGCGCCCCGGAGCACGATGAGCCCCCCGGCCCCCCGCAGCAGGACAAGGAGGGGATGGGGCTTTTGCTGGGCTCTTCCCACAGTGGCCCTGGACCTGGCCCTGTCACAGGGGCACCGGGGCTCCCTGGAAACCGGCTTGTTCAAGTCATGGCCTGCGTCTCCCTGCTGGCACCCCTGTGCAAGCACCCGCTCTTTTCCAAAATGTTGGTATCTGCCGGGCCCTTTCCAGGGCGGGTAGGCAGAGTCACCGGGGATGCCGCGTGCTGCCATGGTGCCTGCTGTCTTCAGAGCACGAGCAGCAGCCCAGGGGGGGGTCACCGAAAATGGGATTTCTCAGTGTGCCCGAGTCACTCTACAGAAAGGTCCCACCCTCCCTTCCCCTCCCCGTGGATTGCTTTTACAGGACATGAACACCCGGCAGGTACAAAGCATGCCAGAAAGGCCACTCACATCAAACGTGACTCTCGGCTTCCAGTTCAGCTTTTCTCTGGCTTTGGTACAGTCCCCTTGCAGAAAATCCTGCGGAAAAGAAGAGAGAGGCGCTGCTTAAAATACAGCATCCACCTTCCCCACCTCGGTGGCCTCTGTGGATTGCTTTTACAGGACATGAACACCTGGCAGGTACAAAGCATGCCAGAAAGGCCACTCACATCAAACGTGACTCTCGGCTTCCAGTTCAGCTTTTGTCTGGCTTTGGTACAGTCCCCTTGCAGAAAATCCTGCGGAAAAGAAGAGAGAGGCGCTGCTTAAAATACAGCATCCACCTTCCCCACCTCGGTGGCCTCCCTGTTGCTCGCGCTTCCCCGTGAGCCGAGCGCGGCCGGAGCCCCCGTCGGACTCTTCCGAGGACAAAATTTTTCTCTTTAAGATGCAATTTCAGTGGAAGCTCATATGCCTATAAATCACCAGGAGGCAGCATCCTTTCACCAGGCTATTTCAGACCAAAAGAGTTATTCTTTGTTTTCCTGTGTGCGCAGGGTTTGAACTCTAGTCTTAACGGCTGTATAATGGTGAACATTTTATAAGAAGTTGTCATACGTCTTAGTCATGCTATTGAATGAGCCATTTGAAATTCTTTTTTCCCCCATTTGTTTAAATAATGTAAATCACAAAGCAAACATGACAACTATTCTCTTTCAAATAAAAACGTGATCACAGACAGATGATGCTGAAAGACTGTTACGAATATGGGTAACCACATGCAGCAGTAGTAAACACCCAGCTTTTGAACGCTTAGATCTTTTTTTCTAAAGTATTTTGAGCATCCACATGGAAAGAAAAGTCTTAATAATCTCATAAATGAAATTACCTTGAAACCATGACAGAAACCAAGACGTCGGTCATATTCACCTTACCGTTCAAGTATTCTTAAAAGTGCTACCACGCCAAAACAATCCCTCAACCAGTCATCAAAAATAACATAACAAAATTAAACAAAGAAAACAGCTCCTTTGACTGCATTTCTATTTGAATGAAAAAACTGACTGCATCTTCCTTTAAAATTCGAATACTGTTTAAATAGTTAGATTTTTCCAACTGTATGTGTTGATTTAATAAAATACATAATCTCTCCTCACAAGCTTCATTTCTCTGTAGCAGTAAATACTAAAATTATATCTGTCTAGGTTTAAAGAAAACCAAACAAAACCAACTTTGTTAGAGAACACCAAGGCTAAGGCTGAATTCTGCTCTTGCATTTGACTTTATGGTGGTAACACAGCAGGCTTTCCAGAAAAATGCATGGACTGCCTTTCTTCTCCCTCTTCCACTCTCTGACCAGCGGTGGAGCCAACGAGCATTTTCTGGCTGTAGTTTTTTTTAACTGTGCTGCCCGCACACTACATTTTTCAGATGCTATCTTTTGTGCCTGTGTGGTTCAGGTCATGTTAACTTCCAAAATCACCTCATCCTGTGCAGTAAAATGTAGGAAATTCTTCTTCATAATTGTGCTCCAGAAAGCTAGACAGCTTGCTTCCAGGAGCAGAGGAAATCCACCAAAGGAAATATTGCACCGAAGAAGGGGATGTGGAACAAACACGTCTGCAGAGACTATTCCAGGCAGCATTTTTACTAGTTCAATCTTCAGGCTAAAACCATTTCAGCCTGCCTTCAGAAAAGAGTAAACAGACGGATCAGAACAAAATGATACGAAAATAAAAAATGCCGTGATTTCCTTAAATTAGACTAAATGATTTCCTACTGCAGCCCTATAATGGGTTTTTAGAAACTGCAGCAGACATTTGAGGCCAAGTCATGCAAAACCACATCAACTTGAGGGATCCCCTGGAGGGTCATGTGAATATGGATTGCAAAATCTGGTTTGAAATGGGAAAGACGCCCACTAACTTTGATAAAATTTGGATCAGACTCTAACGTGCTCGTGAAGGTATGCCTTTTATCTGGAGTTTGGTTTAATTTACATTATATACGTGTGTATATATGTGCCTGGAAACAAGGAAATCCTTCTTAAAATAATAATTTCAGTATATAAACAATTGCTTTTTATTCAGTCCTAATTCAAGCCATTAGCTAGAAGTGAAGGGTTTTAATACCACCTAGTTTTAAGTCATAAAAGCCGTATCATAAAACTTAGAGTTTCATTTTTATAAATGCTGTGTAAGCAATAATTTTACATCCACAATCTTTATATCAAAAACATCCTTTGAAACCGAGCCTTATCTAGGATACTGGCTTCCCATTTGAAAAAAAAATGGACCAGGAAGAACACAACAAATTGCCATCGCCTGCTGTATGTAGCTGCATTCTGCTTTTGAACAGCTTGGGAGCAGTCTTTTAACTTTCTTGGACAAATGCTTTTTGTTAAAACAGTTTATCTAAAAAAATACTTTACCTAATTCCAGTCCTTCATTCAAAAACATAAACACTCAGCTGCTGAATAGGACAAAATAAGGTTGGAGGGAAGTTGCAAATCAGTAAAAGTGAAGTTATTTGCAGTGCTGGATTATACATAGAGATAACACAAACAACTAGTGTATAAAAAAATTTAAATATTAAAAAAAAAGTATTTTTCCTAAAAGTTCACATGCAAAGTATTTTTCCTTTAAAAGTTCACATGCTTTAACAATGATGCAGTAAAGGTATTATGGCATAATCTGTGAGAAAAAAAAAGATTTAATATATATGATAATACAAATTCCTCAGCTGACTTAGGTTAAAAGATTTTAAATGGCTCTCCTGAAGAAGTTTGTGTACTTTTGAGAAACACTACTTTGTACATAGATATACTTGAAAATAGCGTTACGGACAAAATGTCTCCTAGGCACTTTTTAAAAAGTTCTCTTACAGAAGTTACTAGGTACAGAGATCAAATGAAACCATAATATTAACACCATATTACATCTAAATTCAAGGTTTGATTGTATTCTTATTAGTCAAAGTTTCAACACTGAATGGAAACGATGACTGGAACAAAGCTACTCCTGATTAAAGGATTGTATTGCAGTCATGTTTCCTGTATTTTTCTACAAGTAGCTCATAATATGAAAACAATAAGGTAATTACAATAAAATAAGAATATTAAAAAAAGCTTCTCTTGGAACAGAATGACTGCTTGTTTATATTATTCAAGTCTTTTACTGAAACCAGAGATGCATCTGTCAGGCTTCCAAAAGGAAAAAAATCCACAACCCCAAAAAACCTCTGGCGTGCCGATCATTAAAGTGTATTGATTTTTCAGTGTCAGAGCTTCACTTTCTGGAGGTACAACCAGATCAGAAAGGAAAGAAAGAAGAGGTGAGGTTCCACTGGAGAAAACCCGGATTTTTTGGGGGGTGGGTGGGATGGGGGGTTAAAAACAGGTGCTGCTGCTGAATTTAAACTGCCCAGCGTCCGTATTCCTGATGGAAAGGCACCTGATGAAATGACACGACTTCATGTTTTGTATTCCTGCAGGATAACTTTTTTCTGTGGCGTTGTGCTTTACATACTGACAGGAGAACAAAGCTCTCTGACTCCGTGAAAACCATGAGGATTTAGATACTGAGCTGAGAGTCTGCAAACTTGAAAACACTGATTAAGGCTTTCTGTTGTTTTTACAGTACTCAGATCATGAACATAAAATTAAGTCTTTGCTTTTAGTTATCCATTTTGGGAGGAACAAGCCCTTATTTCCCATGTAAATACAGTTAACGTAAGTGAATAGTAATGACAAGTTTTATCTGCAAGCTAAGAGTCGGAAACAACATCCAGGTAAATATTTAAAGGGAAGGAAGATGGAAAAGACAGCAGTCAAATTCTCTGTTGCCATTTAATATGAATAAACTCTCCTACGGCTTTATATGCACCTCACAGTTATGTGACTGCCTCTCGGAGAAAAGAACGCATTTATCCGATGTGAGTTTTTCTGTTTTACCTTTTCTGTAAATGAGGCTGTGTAACTGCGTAGAAAATACCCCATTATTACTAAATGTGATTTTATGATTAGTCAGTTTTATTGTCCAAATGCACACACACAAATACATACAGATAAGCAGAGAGAAATTTGTTACGCAATGCAGTAAGGCATTTTTAAATTTGGTTTTAAAACCATGAGACAAAAATGTAAAATATTTTAATGTAAATATCACATTTCCCAAGCTCTTGTTCTGAGTGTCATCACGACTCCTATTTTGACTCGCGCAGTGATTGATCTGGTTTCACTGTGCAATGTATCACTGTCTCATTCAATTAACTTTAACTGAAAATTTAAAGCCTCAAGACAATGTGAGAAAAAGGAGATAGCGTGGCCTGAAAGAAGGCCAAGGCTTCCTTTATTACTACAGCTCAGCTGATTCCCTTCAAAATGTGCCTTCACTGAAGCCAGCGCTGAGCGCCAGCTTTTGCTCTCTCTTACAGCAGAATAAAACTGAGATCAAGTCCTCAGTAGAACACCTGCGATGGAATTGTGCCCAGCTTCGCTCGCTGCAGCAGAGACAAGGCTTTACCTCTAAAAATAAGCAGACTTGATCTAAGCACACAACAGTTTTACTGCATCTGAAAAGCGGCCAGGGTTACGTTCACAATCAGCACGACCGCTTGGAAGATGATTTGTTACATCAGAGCTCCCATAAGCAAAGAGCACAGACCCAGCTCGGTGGAGGCTCTGGCTTGCATGTTTAGTCTTGCACTCTTTTGCTCGAGAAGTTTTGTCAGGAAGGATTTCAAGAGTCTAGGGGCCAAAGTTTCCTGCAAACCCTGCTTGTGTTTTGTTTTCCGTATTTCCTTCTTAAAACCCTCGCCTTTCAGCTTTAACTCATCCCATTAAAAGAAAATTAGCTACTTAATAAGACAACATTAGCTTGCAGTTTTGCGTTTTCACCATTATCATAGAATAGTTTGGGTTGGAAGGGACCTCTAAAGGTCATCTAGTCCAACCCCCCTGCAGTGAGCAGGGACATCTTCAACTAGATCAGGTTGCTCAGAGCCCCGTCCAACCTGACCTTGAACGTTTCCAGGGATGGGGCATCCACCACCTCTCTGGGAAACCTGTTCCAATCTTTCACCACCCTCAGCGTAAAAAATGTCTTCCTTATATCTAGTCTGAATCTACCCTCTTTTAGTTTAAAGCCATTCCCCCTTGTCCTATCGCAACAGGCCCTGCTAAAAAGTTATATCTCAGTAATGTATATATCAAAGTTTATCTTATGAAATAGTCTCCCTTTTTGTGCACTTTCTGGAGCATTTTTCATAGCAATTTTTAATGAGGGTTCACATAGCACAT